TAAAGGTCTTTTCCAACCTAAATGGTTCTGTAATTCTATGAAAATATACAACATGCTGTTCTGTGTTCCTCACAGCAAAGCTCCCTCTTAAAGGGTTGATCCCTTAAGGAAAAAAAAAGGTAATATACCACCATTATGGTACATTTTATGTTTTCCAACACTTCTTAGATCAGCCTTACTTAGAACATGAGTAAACTGGTATTTTTTCCATAAGCAGCAACCCTCAAGTCTCAAGTCAGGCACTGAAAGTCTACATAGACGGTTGCTCTGCCACATCACCAGCTGCAGCTGAGCTTGGGTACTGTATTCCTGCCTTGCAGGCTTGCACAAGTCTGCACACACAGAGTTTACAACACTCCAGCTGTTGAGGAGCACTGAGGCACAAGATGGCAGAGGTCAGTTTACCACCAGCTGGATATACTCACTCAGCCAAGTGAACAAGCACCCACAGCCATCAAACGAGATCACTTTCATGGAAGTAAGCAATTCTGATTTGAATAAGCCAAGGGAGAAAACAGTATACCCTTTGCTCTATAATGTCTAGTTAAAAGAAAGCTCTGTTTCTCTATAAAGAGGTCTGCTTCTTTTCACATCTTTAAATTTTTCTTTCTACATCTGAAACAATGAAAACCTACAGCTAATTTTCTTCACTGGTTTAAATGAGCCACAAATTGATGCATTTACTTAGGTCACTGTTGAATTAGATATACTATGAAATACAAATCAAGCTCTCCATAGAGACTCCTGTTTTCATTTTGTGAAGTCTTGTGTTCTAGGATAACAAGAGCACCCAGTATTTACCAGTATGATCATGTGTCATACTGAAAACACCCTTCTCTTGCGCAGATGTCCCTGTCACTGCTGATCAAAAAGGCATTCAAGAATCACCTTGATCTGTGTCCCAACATTAATTTCATCCAGAAGAGTTAAGCCAGACTTTCCCTTTGCATATCAGATTTTGCTTTGCCTCATCTCACTTCTTCCTTCCAATATAAACTTTTAAGCCCAGGGTTTATTACCTCCATAGTTCAATCACTTACTATGTGACAGCACATCAGAACAACATCATCTCCGTCCCCCACTGAGCAGCATAGTCTGATCACTTAAAATGTTTCTCTGAAAGTCATCCTTTCAGATTGCTGTACTTCATTATAGCTAATAAAAGGCCTTAAGGAGTTTTACACATAGTTCATTTTTACAAGGTCTAGGAAAATATCCCGTATTCACTATTTTTCCCTTGAAATCCACCCACATTCTTTCTATGTGAGAGCAAGATGCAATCTTGGATAGAGAGATTACAAATCTCAGGGTTGCTTTGGTTTCTTTATTCCGCAAGACAGAAATTAAACTATTACATTTTAACAATTCCATTTGCTATAGAAAAGTAATGTTGGTTATTTTGTTTGAATTTTTTTTCACAATGATATAAAATAATCTGTGTAGGATTCAGCAAAACTTTGAAAAAATCAGACCCCAAGGCATTTTCAACATGCAGTCTCATGATTATATACCAAAAGCCCAAATAAAGCTCATTGAAGACAACAGAAACATCTTCTTTGCCTTCAAAATCAGGCTTAGCATCAGTACTTTTCAGTCATAATGAATTTGTTTTATACTAAGAGAACAAATAGGAAGAAATAAAACTAAGTTACCATGAGACAGTATGGTGGGTGTTGCTCTGATGTCACAGACTGTATTCTGTCTATCCAGTTAGGAACATCTGGCTACATCTTAAGAAAAAAAAAGAAAAAGAATCTCAATTTTTTGCATAAAAGTGTGCTTCCTCAATGACATTAAAAAGGGTTTTCACTTTTTTAATGCAAAGAACAAAAATGTTAATTTCTTCATCTACACTTAGTGCACAAAAATGTCTTCCATTTCTTACTTATTCTACCATATATTCAACTTGAGAACACTCCAGTTCTGTCTTTCTTGTTCTGTTTACCCACCTGCTTCACTCCTCTCTCATCTAACTTCTCTTCATGCAACTTCCTCCACCTTTCTTTTCCTATTTTGCTTTTCTCTGCAACTCCCATGCTCTTTTCCACTCTTCCTTATATTCCCTCACTAAAAAAAAATCTTTTCTTCTGACTCTAGAACAGTATTTCTTAGAATTGCTCGAAGAAAAAAAACCAAAACCCCAAACCACCCAAACAAAACATAAAAGGAGAAACCCAGAAATACTGCACATTCCAGCTTCTCTTTGCAACTCAATCACCCTTTTGCCACAAATAGCACTCCTCCTTTCTCCTTGTGTATGCTTCTAATATGCAGGTGAGGGGAAACTCCAGGGTCCTGTGGTAATGCCATAAACCTCATCACACTATAACAAACAGGATATAAAAAATTGTGCAAACAAACATCAACAGCTCAGGGAAAGGCTGTAGAACCAGACCTCGGGGAGCATTTGTTTTACAATTTAATTTTAAAAGAATCTACCGTGCAATGCAAGGTTTTTAGTGTTTGCACCGTGTGGCTTCCTAAACCCAGCATCAACTGGTTGTCACTGACAGACAAAATTATCTGATCTCAGCACTGCTTGTGGCTCAATTGCTACAAAGCTGAGGTATCTTCATTTGGACTCTGTCAGGTTGAGACAGGCTTTGCTGTCCTTTCAGGCCCTGACAAACAGCCAATTTTACCCCGGCCACCATGGCACACTTAACTGCAATAAATGATCCTTTTCTTATATTTTTCGGGTCTCACATTCTTTTGTATCATTCTCATCTTGTAATCTCTGACCTACTTTTTCACAGGTGTACATATATGACCAGATTAAAAAAAGAAATTCTCCATGAAATAGATGGCGATTGTCAGGTACTTAGTACTCAGGAAATATCAGACTATTTATTTATATGACTTCAGAGTTTAACATTTGGCTCATGCTTATCTGAAGATCTGCTGAAATCACTGAAGAACTGTTGCTCTGATCAGGTAGTCATGTATACATATGTTTTTCTTCAGGGCAGTCACTAATATAAAATATTACTGCGATAAATAGAATAAGGATAATAACAAAAGTGTTATGTTCTAGCAATGCTTTGTAAATTCATTTCTCTAAGGTAGCACTTTATATTTCACAGGGTACTTTCTTTTTCCATTTTCTGTTAAAACAAAGGCAGGGCACAGTATGGATACCAGAAAATATTTTTTGCTGCTTTGTTACAGATTATGAAAATATAAAAATTTTTAGTTGTTCAATAGGATCAGCAGACATTAAGTATTTATTCTTAATATTTTGCCACAATAAAAACAGAACCTTAGGTATCTGACTATTATTTATTTCTGTATTACTCCTATGACTCTGGGTAGACAGCCATTTCAGTTGTACGCAGTGGGGCTGTAGTCCAGCAAAGAGCACTCCAGAAAACAACACATGCACGGATCTGCCCCGCATCTTACATGCAACTGCTGTTAGTTGCTATGAAGTGGTATTGTCCTTTTATTCTGAAACCCAAACAACAATCCACACTCCTCGGATAACTCTTGAAATAAATAATCTCTGCAAATCCCAGACAACAGTTTTATTGAATCTTACAAATACAAGCAGAAATTAAAATCCTATTTTGAGAAAGTACAGAGAGAGTTCAAAAAGCCAACAAGACACTGCCTCTAGTTCTATGTGTTAGCCATTTACTTTCTAACCAGATGAACACCAGGACCCTTAGGCAGCTGGGGATGGGCGTGGTTTACCTGTATCCTGGATATTAGAACAAATAGCGGAATCTCCATTCCGGACTGGATGCTGCTCTGATACAAACTTTAGTTAAACTCCAGCCCCTTAAGATGGTTTCTGATACCTCTTGGATAAGATGTTGTTTCATTGTTCTTTAGAGTGGCTGGGATGCAAGGTAAAGTGACAGAGGATTCAGTTGCTGCCTGTACAATATAACATATCCTGGCACAATTTTGGATTTCCAGCCACCTGGCTGAGGCTGAAGCTACAGCATTATTGCCTCCACGTCTCCTGCACATGAGCGGGTGAGCAACAATGCTGCTGACTCAAGAGAAAGATTGTATTTCAAAACACCTTACAGACCAAGGCTGCCTTAAGGCTGGGCTCAGCTAAGAGGTGGTGCTGGGGAAAAGTGACAGCTCAGATGGCCATAATGGGCCATGACAACATGACAACAGCCCCTCTTCAATCCTCCCCTAAATACTGCAACCAGGAATATAAAGTCCCTTTATTCCCACTACATGCAGCTGCCTGAAGTACCACGTATGAAACAGGTGGATGTCTCTGTAAGGGCAAGACTGTTTCTTGACTCCTGCAGGGCTCATTAACCTAGGGCCATGCCCCACACCTGGACCCTGGCTTTCCTCAGCACCATTACCTTTGTTGGAGGACCAGCCTCGTACGGCCTGCCCCGCGCAGGGCCGGCAGCCTTTCATGTCCCACCGGCCCTCCTGTGAAGGAGGGGGCAAACCCTGAGGCAGCAGGGGGGGGTGGCAGCAGCCCCGCGGGGGTGCCGAGGCGGTCAGCGACACCCCCACGTCTGCGAGGGCCCTAGGCCCGGGGAGCTTACCTAGCACGGTGGGCAGAGGCCACTGCCCGGCCATTGGACCCAGAGGGGGCCCCGGCACAGCATGGCACGACGCCTCTACGGCTGCCAGCAGCGTTTGTGCCCCAGCCTCCGAGTAAGGCGGGGACGGGGCGGGGAGGCAGCGCCGGGCGGGGACGCCGCCTCACGCCTC